GGACGGGTGGGGCTAGAGGAGGAGGGGGATCGGCTCCGTCTCCGTCGCGCGGTGCTTGAGGTGGCGGCTGCAGGGTCGCCATCTTCGGGCTTTGGGTTACCGATGCGCAGGCTGGCTCCACTGGCGAACTCCAGTTGGCGTTTCCTGGTGACAATTTCTTCGCGCTCTGTCTCTTATACACATCTAGATGTGTATAAGAGACAGGAAGAGGGAAGGACGACGAGTCACAGAGTGTAAAAAAAGAAAATAGAGAAAAAGCAAAAAAATCGAGAGACACAGCAAGGGGCTGAAGGATGATGATGATGATGATGATGATGAAAACGCGGCAGAGTTCCCACAGCGCCACCAAGCAAGCGGACAGAACAGGCTTGGAAAGACTGGTGTCTTCCCCCGAACACAACGCACCCTGATCAACCCATCGTTCCGGTGCGTTGTGTTCGGCAGCCTGAGGGTGCGTTGTCTTCCCCCGAGCACAACGCACCCTGATACAGTCGTGACGATGGTGCGTTGTGTTTGGGGGGAAGAGGGTAGCGTGAGGGTGCGTTGTGTTCGGGGGGAAGAGGGTAGCGTGAGGGTGCGTTGTGTTCGGGGGGAAGAGGGTAGCGTGAGGGTGCGTTGTGTTCGGGAGAAAAGAGGCTAGCACGGGGGTGCGTTGTCTTCAGCGGGAAGAGGGTTGCTTGCCCATCGAAGAGGGACAAGGGGCAAGGTCCCACTTGCGCAAATTAGGAGATTTCGGCCGTTGACGTTTGCTATCAACGGTTGGTATCTCTTAATTCGTGCAAGTGGGACCTAGCCCAAGGGCGAAGCAAACACCACCGACCAATTTAAAGGGGAAAAAGAGGGAAATGGGACCCCCACTTATTCACACTGCCATGAAGAACTTGTGCTGGAATCAATGCGTCGGTCACAGGCCCTCGCTCCACTACTCTCCACATGCAGAAAAGACAAAAAATAGGGCGTTGTATTTTTCCATGTTCTAGCGGAAGACAAAAAATAGGGCGTTGTATTTTTCCATGTTCTAGCGGAAGATTCATTCTCATTTTGCACATACCGCGAGTAGTGGACCAGGCCTACACACAGGGCGATCTCAGCACAGGGGGGGGGGGGGGGGGGGGGGGGGGGGGGGGGGGTGTGTTGCCAGCGGACCTGTAGAAAATAGCCCTTTTTCTTTTCAAAAAGGGCGACAGCCTTGAGATATCGGGACTCGCTGCACTACTCTTGAAATGCACAAAAGACAAAAATCATGGCCGTGTATCTTTCCATATTCTAGCGGAAGATTCACTCTCGTTTTGCACATT